TCAATTGTCACACAATACTCATTTGCTAAATGTAGCCTCATCCTGACATCAGCTATTGAAAAAACATCTGTTTTGTCTCGGATTTATCCTACACATCATCGTGTAGTCTGTAACTACAATAAGGTAAGATAGTTAGATTCATTCATGTTTTCAACATTGTTTTGGTAATAATATAACATCAGATAGATATCTTGATATTTCTTGAAATTGTATATGTAATTCCATATGTTGTATTTATATATTATTTAGATTCTGATCTGACAGATTCGTGTTTTGTGAACTTTGGGTCATGCTATCTCTTACCTTGTCCTGGGATATGAATTCTTCAAGTACATGTACAGTGTAATTGAAGGTCTGGGATAGAAATATTAAGAATTTAACTAGTGCATAGAGTTTGCCAACAATCGGTGAATGTTAGCAATTTGTTCTTTTTATGAAGTTGACATATTCTTTACTGAGATATAAAGCATTCCTTAGCTGTTAATTATATAACTAGATGCAAATCGATGTATCATAAATATAAATTTTGATCTCAGGTAATAGTTTATATTTATTACTTAAAGGATGTATATAACTATCTAGGCCTTAGAAAACGTTATGAACGACTTTTTGAGGATAATTATCAATTTGATTCCTTTTCATTTACTAAATCTAATAAATGGACTTTTGATTTCTAATTGAATGTCAAAGTGCTCTAATAACGAAAATGAAAGTATTTGGCCGTTGTCAGGAATCCTCCCAAAACAAATGTCACAATGAATGTCTCCATATCATCCAACGTATATTGATGACGTAATACTCGTAGCCCACTCTTGTGGAAATCCAATGTAATGTGACGTCATTCCGTAACAATGATATATTTGGAGAAACCTCTCAACTCTTAGTGGATTCCCCAATTTTTTTACATTTATATACAAAATGAACCCTAACTAGGGTATAATAATTTCAAGGTTTGACCATTATATCCCTTTGTGGCACACTATGATATGCATGGGCTCTCTTGAAAGCCCATGTGATATGTAATGCTGTTTGCTCGTATTAAATGCATTTTATGATACCGATACCATACTAGGATTATAACGGTCTCTTTTATTAGCTTATTTTAGTGTATGATTCAGTGTATTTATATCTGTCATTTGGATTACACGGGATGATCAATGATTGAGTAAGTTAATCGCTGCCATGCTAATTTAACCTCTAAAAAGGAGAAATACATCCCTTGGGATGATCATACTCAAGATGAAAAAGATAAGCTGTGGTTCTGCTGTTATCTAGTTGCTTAGTCAGAATATGGAATCACTTATCGTCCCATCCTTCACATAGAGCTTCATTTCTTTCTATAATGAAATAAAATTACCCAATGGTAAGGATGACAAAGGGCGAATCATAAAATTGTTAAGAAACCTTTTTAACAGTATATGTACTGTTGTCCAGGATATGTTTTGTAATAGCTACTGTACTTCTAACGTTTTTTTCCCGAACCAATAATTCAGGTATGTAATATTAAAGAACTTCCACATGCAGAATTTTATTTTTGTCTTTACCAAATCCCCCAAATGTTGTTTTTCTCATACATTCAGGTTGAGTCTTTTTCTAAAAGTGATTTCCTCAAGATCAAATGGTGATTCCCTAGATATTTGCGAAGTCTTTTGCATTTAATTTTGAGGCTTTTGTTTCTTAATGCTCAGACTGACATTTTTATGAACTGGCTACTTTATATTATGAGTAATCGGCTAGAAAAACATAGTAATCAATCAATGAATATATTAAGCTGTCATATCTCGAATCTGATTTTGTCTTTCTCTCTGATGAATTGTAATCGTAAGTGTGTCAATATTTGAAGGGCTTGCTTGATGGTTGAAGTCTACTAATGGTACCTGACTGTGATAGGGATCTTCTCAGAATACATACATTGTCATTTGTCATATACAAGTTACAATTTTTTTTATTTCACCAGTGCCACAAGTGGTGACATATTGTTAGAGTCGCCGACTTTTTTATGGATGGTGTTCAGCATTTGGTGGTCTGTGTTCAGTGGTTGGTGTCTGTAACATATGGCAGGTGGTGACATTTTGCACGTTAAGGATTGTTTATTTGGTTACTGTTCCTAATTTGCAGTTTTTTCTGCTGAACAAAATTGATGTTTTATTCTAAATTACTACGGTAGAATATATGAACATCTCTCAAAAAATCAAATCATGGTTTGTTAACTTTCAGAACTTAAAAAATCGTCATTTCTGCATAAAGGTATATTTGGGCATATTTCCATCAATACATCCTGTCGTGGGAGATTTATTGCCCTTCATCCATTATTGCTGTTCTCATTTTTGCCAGATTTCTTTAAACAGTTAAATATACATTTTTTTATTTTGCCAGATTTCTAGAAACAGCTAAACACACAAACAACTCTTCCTTCACATAAGGATATCTGTTATCAAATCATAATAATTTCACATTTTCTTAATGGAATATTTAATTTTAGATTTTGAGAAACGTTCTGCTACCACCCTATCGCAAGGTGAAGTCACATGCTATAACTGATCCAGAGCCTTGCAGATCTATGTCTCTTATTCTTGATCTTTGGGGAATTTCTACTTGTACTAGTTAATTACTTCGGTAAAATAAACTATTTTGTTTTGTTAAAGATTAGAGTTTGACTAGGATATAGAAAAGCTTACTGACAGTTATATGTTTATTTATAAAAAATCATATTATTATTATCGTGAATTGTGATTTTGATGAATTGCAAGACTTGAATTGGATTATATTAATCCACATAGAAAATTGCATTGAATATAGAATCAAGATATCATATTGGTATTTTACTGATATTTGAGTATTAGGTTGTAGAATCAAATACTAGTAGTTGGCTTGATCGTTGGCAATTGTGCTGAATGAATGACTGTCTATCTACGTAATATTTGACTAGGAATGGAAGTTTTAAAGGATTATACTGAATGTGGAATAATGTGACAATGACTGAGAGACACTAAGTATCGTTCAATTATTTTTTAAGGATATTACCCACGACATTCTGGCATTATCATTTAGACTGAAATAATTAACGTTTCTGAACTGTTCTCGTTGAGAAAATTACTAAATTGGTAAGTTCATCATTTATACATGTCAGAAATAATTGTCAGAAATATGGTTGAAAAATGGTAATTAACAATGACAATATAAGTGCTACGAATATACCAACTAAGTTATCGTTCTACGAAAATCTCATGAGCTTGTACGAGCTTGTAGGCAGGAAGCCATGGTAGTCTTAAATCACAGTCTTTAACAAGCAGCCATTAGCTGTACAGGATAAATAACACCAGCAATGCTAGATTTGAAAGGCAAGAAAGGAAACTGACAGTAATTTTGAAAGATATGCAATTATTGGTGTTAGTTATATCCTTGGGTTTTGGAAACGCAGATGAATTACAATTGATTCCCAGATGCTGGGATGAAGGAGTGTCTCTTAGAATTTCCAGGATATTGCTTTTATTTTCTGTATTTTACTCAAATCTTTGAAGTTCAAATATCACTAAGGAGTTACAATCGTAAATCACCACATGTTTAAGTTCATGACAAGTGAAAAAGACAACATTTTAAAAAATTAAAATAGATCACGACTCATGTCATTGTGTCACAAAAGGCCCCAAAAAGCCAAAAATCTGATCTCAAACATGGTTCATACAATTACTACAGTTTTTAACTTGATTGAGTATTGTACTATCATCATTTGTTGCATGTATTTTAAGGGTCACTTGCAATGATATTGATAATGACTTCATTTTGCTAGACACTTTAAGAAACTCTGATGAGAAATAAATCTCAATTGATACAGACACTCTAGGAAGCTAAATGTAATCGTGTGGAAAGAAAAGGCATCCACCCATTCATAGTTTACTTAGAATGATACTTTTATTTGGTTAGCTCTTCAAAGTCTCTGTCAGAAGGAATTCCATTAGTTAGATCAGTCGATTGTAAGTGGGAGTCATTTGTTTGATGCAATGGTCCTTCCAAAGATTTCTTCTCAGAATATTATCTTTAAACTCCATTTTTACATATTCTTACGATGCAATATTGAAAACTGGGCTCAACAATTCTACATTTGCTCGACAGCAAGGGCCTACATGTTGCCAATGCTGGCAAAATCATGTTCTATTTAATGTTTGAAAATAGCATATTTTTTGCTTGTCATGGACTTAAGAATCATAGGGTGGCATAGCATTGTTTCATGTCAGAATGTCAGTGATATTTGAAGTCACCCAATGATTCAAGCAAAATACCGATGATATTACTGGTGTCACAGTTATACAGGATCTATATCCCATGGCGTAAAAATACAGGATAAAGTTCCATCACATGGGCCACAGCCAGTCAGATTGCTAAAATATTCACCATCATATGCGATTGAATAATATGATTTCTTCCCTTCAAAACCATTATTGCTGTCATATTTTGTGGCATTAATCAGACCTAATGGAATGGGTTGAAAATTTATTATTACCCAAAGTGCAGAGCTGTAAAAGTGAACTTTTTGTATGATTAATATGTGCTTCAGTTTATCTTCTATTGCTTTTTAAGTGTCACGACATGACAGGAGCACAGAGTGACTTGTAAAGTACATGGCCAAGACAATACATAATACTAATTATATGAAAACGCAAAGATATAGAGAATCTGATTTGAAAGATTTTAATATTTGATTAATATATCAACAAAGCTAAATAGGAATTCCTAAAATAACATGCTGTTACTTGCTATAACTTTCTGAAAAGAATGAACTTCAAATGACCTATATGTGACATATATAATGTTCAGTGGAATATTTGAATAACAGTGGCAAAAAATTTTATTGCCATAAAATAAAACTTTGTTCAATGCTAAGTAAGCACAAAATAAGTGCTGAATTAGCACTTTTAAGGTCTAAATAAAAAGTAAACATAGACCTTCTGGATGCGTCCCAATGTTAACCCATGTTTATGCATTTTTGCTTGTATTTCCAGATTTGTGGTTGAGTAAGATGGGATGATGCGTATTCTAAGACGGAAGGTTTTTGTTGTATTCATTGTCATCGTAGGACTCATCAGCATCTGTTCCTTCTGGTTCAGTTGTGCCAGCAGCAATGACCTCACCAAGCAGGATGACGCCTTCTACAGGTTGGTTTACTTGTTTTCATGTCACCACCAAAATGTGGTGACATATTGCCATATCTACAGTTTTTTGTGTCCCCACCACAAGTGGTGACATATTGTTATGGTCTCTAATTTATTTGTGGACAGTGTTCGGCATTTGGTGGTTGGAGTCTGTAAGGTGGTGGTGACATTTTGCATGTTAATGCCTTGTTTATGATTGGCATTCATCATTCACACATGTGAACATTTGCAATATCTTACATTTTGACATACCTTGTTTCCTTTCTGTGATTTTCTTTTTTATCATATATAAAAAATGGTAAACTGTATTGTTGTATCATCTTTAATTTTGTGGGAATCAAGGGCAGGAAGGTTTTGTTATGAATTACATACATATGTATAAAGTATATTCTTTGACATGTGTTCTTTGATGTGCTTGATTAGTTATTTTCTTCAAACTTTATTTCTGCACTTTCAGAGATGTAAGTCACCTTACAAACCGATATGCTCAGCCAGAATCACTTTTGATTGGTCAACAGCTTAAACAGTTACAAGAGAAATCATCAGAGGTGAAAGACGCTGATGCTGATCCCGATGATATTCCCTATGAGGAGATAGAAACTAGTGTCAATGATGAGTATACAGTGGTAGGAAGACGTGAAGGGGATGAGGTCTATCTGCCATTCTTTGGCTTCATTCAAAAATATTTTGAGGTAAGGGGTTGATCAATGATAGATTGTAGATATCACTGAGAGTTGCAGTAGAATAATGAATACAACATTACAGTTGATTAAAAAATGTGAGACTTGTATTTGTTATTGTACAATTACGATTGTGTTTATGCATGTTTTTTTGTTTCTTGCAATTTTTTTTCACAGAATGAATTTATATTGTTATCGCTTTACGCTTTCTGTAATTACTATTCATAGGCAAATGAAAACTAAATGTCAATTGATTCATTTCATTTTCTAATATTTTCAATTGTTATTCTTGATCAGTTCAATGTAATTTTGTCCTAGCTTTTAGATTTAATCCCCAGTACTTATACCCATCCATCAAATACTAGAATGCCCCATTCAAGAGATTTAATGAACCTATGTTCTTTTTTCCCTTCGCTTTCAAAATAATTTGATGAGAGTATGCCATGTTGCAACATTTGCAGTGATTTGGAGTAACTCCTTTCATATAATTAATTGCTTCCGTTTTCTGTCATTTCATTTTGTATTTAATAAGAAGTATCGTATAGATTGGTTCAAATGTTTTGTAGAAGCTAAGCTGAGTCGATATGTATTCGTTGTCATATAAATGCTAAGTAGACCTCTGTCTCCTTTGGTTCCTCGCCTTCCATTGAACGATTGATATTTTAGCATTATTTTCGAGTTTTATAAACCATATATGGATATAAGTCGCATAACAAGGCATTTTATTTCTTAGTATAACGTGATTTCTCCCCTGATGCCATTAATCAGGATACTTAAGAGTCTCGACCTGAAACTAATAGTTCATTATCACCGTGTTTGGCCCTAAATGATTTACTCATTCCATTACAACATCGCAATGTCGGTTATGTTCTACAGTTAGTAATTAACATTGATTTAAGATTAAAGATTAAAGAGCACTCCCGATGACATTGAAATATTGTCTCTGTGGGTCTCATCATTGTTTCACCTTCAGAGCAATGAAGCATATCATGGTTTGCGTGACATTCATACATATTACGGCTCAGCAGCTTCAACTGGTTCACTCGGTTCAAACAGAGGACTGTCGTTATCAACTATAATACCACAGTCACCGATTTTCATTGAAATAGAGGAACTTGATCTCTAAAAAATTTCTAAAAAATGTATATGATGAGCCATCAGTTTTTTCCATATAAGTTTAATTTCATATGATTTATTGTGTGAGAATAAATGTAATAGAAACAGATGTACATGGTATAATTAGAACAACAACATTTTAGAACCTTAGTTTGAATACCCACGATTCAATCCCATTGCATGTTTTATCAACATTATTTAAAATTGAACAATGAGAGTTTTTAGTGTCAGGAGATCAAATATACGTTACTTTTTCAAATCGTGTCATATTTTTGAAGTTAAGTGGTATTGCATTAAAAGGTTTAATCACAGTAAAAAAATCATTTATGACTTGTACAAACATCTATCTTAAGTTATAAGTACCTCTAATGCAACCCACAACAATATAATATAACCTTATTCAACTTATCGTGATAAATCTTGGCTAAACAAGTTTTTTTTCATCAGGTAACATACAGTAGGGGAAAAATGAATGATATACTACATAATAAAAGCAATTGAAAAAATAAGAGGATTGAGAGAAGCTCATATAAAAATGTGTTTATTTTTAAAACATATAACATACAAGTCAATGGAACATGCAAAATATGGTACAATAAGGGAGCAATCAGATCTTGTTAAGTTGACTCTATGTTAAGTTTTTCATCTTTGGACTTCTGTGATTCTACAATAGTCAATAGACTCTGCTTTAAAACCCAGGCCTATGAAATTGTGCAAACTCAGTCTTAAATGCATTCCCGACTGATGGGAGCCAAGTGAACGAAGATGGGTCTATGATGTCATGATTAACTGTTGTTAATCAGGAATAATATACAAAAGTATATGAAGTGAACAAAATTGGTTTATAAATTGTGATACCTGTTCATCATCAAAGGCTATTAGGCTAATGATCAGCTGCACAGTGCTCCCAATTGCATATTGTAAATAACAAATACATGCCGTAAAAGTCAACTTTAATGAGTAGTCAGACACTGTTTCGACCAGCTAGATATTTTCACATTTTGAGCTCAGAGCATATTGAGATTTCCTGATGTTTGTCACGGAATTCCAGAATGTTCATATTTTATATGTTATATTATTGCCTAATTTATATTTGAAGTTATCCTTATCAGAGTTTCCATGACAATCACCTGTTAGAAGAAATATATATCTGAGAATTGGACCAAAAATTTGCATTCATTTGTTTTATGTTTACAGTATTTCAAAATCACACTGAGTGGGTGACAAGTGTATGTATTCTTTGCTATTTACTAAAATGTATCACAATGTTGTTGCACTGCAATGTATTATGTATTTTTTACTGTTTACTTTTTATCACAGTGTTGTTTGCTTCAGGTGTATGGCAGGCTAACAGATAACAAACAGAGGTTCATATTTGAACATAGCTACTCGAAGATCTACAAACCCAATGGCATGTACACTCCAACTGGTATCTTCATGTCCTTTGAACACTACAATGTAGAAGTGCGGGATCGTGTAAAATGTATCAGTGGAATAGAGGGTATGTACGTTTAAAGCTCTCAGCCAATCAAATTGTTTAAATGTTTATTTCACGTGCCAGGACAACTGGCATGTTTCCATGGTAGCAAGGTGAAGTTAATAATGTTACTGATTGACAATAATTGTGATGTCACAATAACCCGGACAAAACATGAAAATATAGCAATGATGTGTGATGTTATCACATGTAAGATCCTAACTCCCAATTTTCATAGAAAGCCATTCGGAATGCAATAGAGAATGGAAGTCATGGATTATCCAGAGCATTGTTACTTGTCATTTTGAAAGATCACTTTTGTCTGAGGAATCAGCGTATTGTTCCACTTTGACATTGATCAAATATTTCCACTAGTGCGATATTACACCGTAATCTACAATTTCATTCTTTATTCCCAAAGTGAATAATTACTTTTGCTCTGTGCCATTTGTGATATTCATAAATGAATGTTTTGGAAGCAGCAATCATATCAACATTTTTTTCACATCAGCTATTTCAAAGAATGCTATACTGTACTGTATTATTTCTATTTCTTTCACATATAGCATGTTACATCAGTGGTCTCCCCAGGATTTTTTCTCAAGTGGGTGCAAAATTCTCATTTTCACAATTCAGACCGAAATTGGTCAAAATATGCCTATTTTTCATGATTTTTCTCATTTTCAACTGGGTGCAAATGGATTTTCAGGTAGGTGCAAGTCTGTTTTCAAAATCTCAGGTGGGTGCTGCGCCCACTTGCTTTAATGCTGGGGAGATCACTGTACATAATATATTAATTATCAATATGTGTTGATTATTGAAATAAATTGCCAGGCCATAGTGGACTTGGAATCCCATTTCTAAAATATCTGTTTTGGTCTTGTCTATTTCACTGTTTTCCTCTCTAGATCATGAATAAAGTGTCAGATTGTTCAGCAAATCGTAACAGTGTCGAGTATTCATGACCTTCAGGTTTTATTTTTTCGTTGCTGATTGCATCACTTTGACGTTATTTTGAATTTTTTACATGACCACAGGGACATTATTTCATGGCTTGTTTCTGAAAGTTGAAAGTTTCTACTTTATCATTTCTAGTGGAAGATTGCAGACAATTGGAGGAAAACTGATTGGCTTAGCTTGTAAATGATCGATCCTCGAAGACTAGTATATTCTCTGAATATTGTCCTCATAATGGATTCAGATCCCTTAGCAGTATTTCAAGAAGCCATTTCATGATAAAATAAGAGATACTTACTTTAGGGTCATTAACTTTTTATTACTGTATTACAGGCAACTGACTTGGTTCTGTCCTGAAGATCTAAAAATATTTTTATAGTTATTTTATAGTTTGGGATATAGACTAATAGGTCGAGTGGGATGTATTTTGGATGTATTTTTGCCTTAATATAAAATGCATAAAGTTAATTAGACAGAAAATACATTCTGCCTGGCTTACCTTAATATTTGCCTTAATGTTAGTGCTAATATCCCTGAACCTGAAAGTTAAAAACAATATTCTATTTGTGAAACTTGGATTAATATTGAATATTTGTTGTATACTTTTTAGGTGTCCCTCTATCGACACAGTGGGGTGCCCATGGCTATTACTACCCCATCCAGATAGCCCAGTATGGTCTTAGTCACTTTAGCAAGTTCCTTATAGAGGACAAACCAAGTGTCACCGTCTATGAGAATGGAGAGGATTGTACAGATATGGAGTGGCAGGTCTCAGGCCCTGCCTCCCACGTGAGGTGTGTCCCTGATGATGAAATTGACTCCGATGTCTTGGCTTTCAAGACTCCAGGTTAGTATTATCCACTTTTGAGTCAATACGAGAAGCTTTCTCAAAGTAACAAATTCCAAGGTTTATTTTTCTGTTTTCTGTTTCTATGATGTCCATGGCTACAACAATTAACCTAAGACCTATACAATTAACCCTGTAAATTGACGAAAGTTTCTTGTAATGACTCCCTGTTTACAAAAGTAATTCTAAATATTGTACTTTATCAATAAACTCAATTAAAGGAAAAAGGCCAAAGTGGTTATTTTATATCAGAAAATGTGTTGTTCCTCAACAATATTATGTAACAATACAAATCTGAAATGGATTTTTCCACGTAATGTCTTAAATTGATATGATATATCCTAATGGTCTCCATTTTGTTCCTATTTAGGGATCATCTCACAGGTTTTACACAAGAGTCCAAGCCAAACATTATCCATTTTGTACATTCAACGTCCACTCTTGCTTAAGAAAAAAGATTTTTTGAAGTTTAAATTGATATAATTTTAATTTAATGGCACCTTACAGTAGTGCCCATGTGTTATATTGGCATGTTTTGATTTTGCAATTTCTATTTATTTTCAGAATCACTAGGCAATCCTGGTGCTTTATTCCACTTAGACGAAGATTCCAATTTCTTCATGTCCCTCGATCTTAAGTTTATCACCAATGGGAGTATAACTGTCTTGGTAGAGACAAAGGCCAAATCCGCACCACTATTCCATATACACTATGCGTGCAGTCAGACACTAATTCACGCAACTGGTAATGAAATATATTATGGGATTGGCGATCGCCAGACATGGAGTCACATGACTAGAGATATCCCGACAGATTTCCAGAAAGGGCTAACTTTGTTGTATCCCAAACAGAAAAAATTAAAGATGAAATTTGCAGTACGTAGAATAGTAAGCATAACATTACATGGTACTGGATACGTAGACAATATCACATTTTCAAGTGTGACTCATTTAGCTCAATTTTATTACGCGGCCAATTGGCTTGTTCGTCACCAAGACCGCACGGGTGGATGGCCAATAATGGTCACACGTAAACTAGGGACATTTGATTCCTTAGATCCTGGTTGGTATTCAGCTATGGCCCAGGGGCAGGCAATATCTCTGTTAACTAGAGCTTATATAAGAACTAAGAAAGAAATGTACCTTCAATCAGCATTACGAGCCACCAAGGTGCTTAATATAAACAGTCAAGACGGTGGGGTGCGTGCCACCTTCATGGACAAGTATGTGTGGTATGAGGAATACCCTACAAATCCTAGCAGCTTCGTTCTCAATGGCTTTATTTATTCCTTGATTGGTCTTTACGATCTTAAGACCATCGCACCGCCAGAGCTTAGTGGCGAAGCTGAAAAACTCTTCAAGCAAGGCATGACGTCACTAAAACATATGCTCCCTTTGTTTGATACAGGATTGGGGAGCATATATGATTTACGTCATGTCACATTAGGCGTTGCACCAAACCGTGCACGCTGGGACTACCATTCCACTCACATTAACCAATTGCTGCTCCTAAGCACTATAGACAATGCCCCTATATTGAAAAATACTGCCGAAAGGTGGACGGGCTATATGATAGGCAAAAGGGCAGCCCATAATTAGCCTTTGAGGAACTCAACCATCATGTATTTCTATACCAATATACAATCCTCACAGTTTTTGTCAAATATTTTGTTTTGATATCATAGATTTCAATTACATTTAATTAAATATCCATTGGTTTGGGAGACACAATAATTTAATAATAATAGCATATTTTGACTAGTGTGTTACATTCGGAGGCATAATATAAAATTGATATAAAAGAGGGTGGGCTAAAACACCAACTTAAAATTGACAAATGTACTCAATTCATCCAATAATTTTAGGGTTGATTTAGCCTACCCTGTATACTATTGTGATCAAAGAATAATTATGTCTAACATACAGGATAAGTGTTTTCGAATTTGAAATCATTGCTCATGCTATCTTTTACTCCGATGAGTCAGTTTAATGCACAGTCACAAAATTCAGCAGTTGCTCCCTTTATTAACATAGAGCAGTTATCTAATTGGTATTGATTTTCGGGGGTTATGTGTTAAACTGCAATGGGAGAATTATTGCTGTTAACATATTCACTGTTCCACAGCTGGATGACTCTAACTGCAGTTAGCTTCATTCAAGATGGTTGCCGAAATTATTTCGTTTTCGATAAACATCTGATTTCAGCTAAACTAAGTTGAATCTGGATTCCAAATGTTTTGCCATGCAAATTAATAAAGCTACGATGGTAAATAACCACAAATAAATGCTCAATCAACCACGATATTGGAGAATATTAAAGAAAATGGCTTCACTTAGAATGACCCTAACTGAAGTTGATGATCAAGTAGATCATAGAAGAATTTTGCGGTGTTTGGGCATTTATTTGTGGTTGAATACAATCGTAGTTTTATTAATTTGCATGGCGAAACTTTTGTAATCAAGATTCAGCTTAGTTTAGCTGAAATCGGAGGTTTATCAAAAACGAAAGAATCTCGGCATCCATCTTGAATGAAGCTAACTGCAGTTAGAGTAATCCAGCTGTGGAACAGTGATATTACTCTGGCTTCATAGAAATACATGATGGGTGTATACTTCAGGTTTTATGATTTTATTCCAATTATTCCTCATTTATTTATACTAGTCATGTCGTTCCTCAGTGGATTTTGATTATTCATAAAAAATGATTATTTAAAAGTGAACCATATATGTATGTACATATAAGAATGATTATGATTTTCATAGTACTAAGGAAGTAGTGAAGTACACTCAGGGACTTATATATTTGAAGTCCATGGTGCATGAAAGTGTATTAAAAGGGAGACAAATACTAGAATAGAATAACAAAGTCATACATTTTGTACATTGTGAACAGTGGCGTGATGATATCTCTGTGTGTAATGTCTCTATTTTAGTAATGTTCATGGACAAGTTCTGTTTTATATTTGTAGGTTACAATGGCCTACTAAATTATACAAATTTTTCTCCAAAAATCAAAAATAGATTGGTGCCATTCTGACCTGGCTACGAATTAAGCTTGATTGGAAGTCATGCATTTGGAGAGTATTTCTATTATGTTAGGAGAATTTGATTGAAGAGAAGTTTTAGCTTTAGCTGATTTTACAGTATATTTTCTCAATCAAATTCTCTATATTACCTGTATTTCCTGGTAAAGATGGCAGCACTATAGTCGTAGTATTAATGGACTCCCAATTGCAAGCCCTGGAACCTTTTTATTATATCGTTGAAGGAGAGCACAAAAATATAACTATGAATTCTGGAAATATTTTGGGTTTGGGTTAAACAAAAAATATTTTGTGTCTGAATTCTAGAAGTTTGAAAAAATACTTCAGCTGTTAAGCTGAGTTAGAGGGAACTTTCTGATAAAGGGTAAAAAGTAGATCCCCAAATATCTAATGGTCTACCTTTTGAAAATGAGAAAATTTTATGATAAGGTGGTTGTGGCGTTAAGTTAGTGTCCCACAAGGATGCTATATTTTAACAGTATTGACATTTCTTTTCAAAATTGTTTTGGGTTCTTGTGTTAAGTGATCAGATTCACTTTGCTGACTCATCCCCTCTCTGCTGTCTATGATTCTCCTACACTAACAGTCTAAATGGGGCAATCATGTACATGTTTATATTTCTCCTACAATAAGAGTCTGAATGGGGATAGGGCCATCCCAGGCAGCAATCATGTACATGTATATATTTCTCCTACAATAAGAGTCTGAACGGGGATAGGGTCACACCAACAACCAATCATGTATATATTTCATTCCAGAAACTGAGCATTAATTATTGGAAAATAATGGTATACGATATTTTAATGCATGCAATATTAAAAAATTCTTTTATCCAGTGAATCAAAAGTGAATGAGTGTATGGACTAATGTATGATACTAATGTATATTTATAACCTACCTAGGAATAGCATGTTTGTAGAAATGGTAGAAAGTAATGGGGCCAGGGCCAAGACCCTTACTTTTAATAATCAATGTAGAAAGCAATGGTGTGAAATCAATTAGGGTGCTAATATCTACATATTGTACGTGATCATTTAGGGGAGGTATCAAAAGATTGATGTCTGTTTAGAAACTTTACTAATCAAGCTTGGGGGTGGGGGGTTTCAATACTGAAAAGTTTTCTATGGGACAAAATCAATGTTTTGAAATTTCATAAAATGTGAGCTTTACTGCCTTCAAAGATAAAGTAAAGTGACACAAACTGTATTATTGGAATGACCAGTTTAGATGCTTACAATCATTCTTGTAAAAATGTTTTACTTTTTTCATATCAATTCTTTGCCCCTATTTTCAACATTTTAAAGTTTTAAGGGGGTGGGGTCAGATGTCAAACTTAATTAGTTAAGTTTTTAAACAGACATTGAACTTTTGATGCCTCCTCTTACTTCTTGTTAACTGTACACCGTATATGAACTTTCCAGGGCTGGTCCAAATATGGACTTTTCAATGTTACTCCAAATATGGACAAGATTAGTCCAAGTATGGGATTCCTAAAATTGGTCAAAACTTCCTAAGGTTTCCAAGACCAAAAATTCAAATTCATAAGGAAACAAATGATGAAACATTGTGTAAATAATAGAGTATGTACTATGTATACTATATATACCGTGTATACTATGTATACTTCAATGAAAACTCATTTTTAGATAAGCACTATTGAAAAAATTAAAAAGGTTTTACAAAAAGATGTCACTGATAAGAAGGTGTAAATATTCCTAATGTAAGTCTGGCTTTTTGAGAAGACATTGGAGCCTATGGTTGAAGGATTCCAGTGTTTACTGATAAAGCAGAAATTGCCAAGTATTGAGGTATTTATTTAAAAAAACATATTAAACCAGGTGTCCCAAAAAATGTTGTACCGAGACAAAAATGGAATAACTGAGTGAGTGATGAAGGAATATTCTTGAAATCTGGTCATCTGACAGACAATTTATTTACCATAGACATCCAAACGTTTCATTAAGTAGTTCTGCTTAGTATTAAAGAAAATATTGTTTTAACACCATCACCTGTTTTCCCATGTTTTAAACTGCATTCAGTTCTGCATCAATCGTGGTGGAGGTAATCTAGAGCATGTCATCTAAAATGTCTCAATCAGTTATTTACAAATTTCTATGATTTTTAGCTGCTGAAAAATGAATTCTCTTTAATATCATATGAAAAATTCAGCTTTTTTCTATGAATGAACAAAGAATCATTCCTGATTCATTTGGGTACAGTTTTTTGGGACACCTAAATGACATCAGCAGATTTTGAATACTGCTACAAATTGTACATTATGTGTATATACATATGAAAGTGGTCCCCTCACATGATAATGGCATACCAACTCCCAGTCTTTGAAAGATTGGCGAAGGTGCAATTTTCTTTGAATTACCATGTTCAATCAAATTGTTTTTAAAACAACTATTGCTTATCAGGCACTATATAACAAAGCAGTTATTTATTTAAATGGGAAATTTTGTCCAAATGTAACTTTGTCCACTTTCAATAAATACATGTATTCATAAAGGAAAGAATTAAAAAATATTTTTTTGCAATAATCAATTTGTAAAAATGATTAATCTACTAATAAAAAACAATAGATGTATGTAAGTAAATAAATGAATAAAACGATGAGCTATTATTTAAATAATGTATTTTGTATTTAAAACAGGTTTCTCTATAATAAAGCTGATTCATTACATTGGTCTTAAATCAAAATTGGGTCACAAACTGTGAACCAATTACATTATATCTGTAAATTATACATTATAAGTGTCAGTTTACATATACACAGGGTGGGAATATCTGATTTTGTTTAGGTCCCCTAGCATGACATTTTACCAAGAGTTATCAAGAATTTCAAACAATTTATTTTTAACCTTAAAGGTGCAACAATTAGTGCAGGGGGACCATTCAACGATTAGCGACCAGTGTCAAAATATATTTAAGTTTGGATATTTCATCAAGACTAACATCGATTTTCATTATCTCCAAAGAAACCCCCTGGATGAACATTATTTCAGCTGATATTCCTCTTGAAACATGGTGGATCTTAAAAATCGATGAGTGGGACTCCCTTTATAGATACTTTGAAGTTAATTTACACTTCTTAATGCTGAAATTGATAGTTTATACATACATTTTATGAAAATAGGTATGTCAAAGAAGGTGTTGAGCCAAATATTGACCTGATAGCTCAGAAAAATTTAAATTTTCCAATTTTCTCTCTACAGTCCTTGTTGCCCCTTTAAAGCCAGTTCTGATCTAGGACAAAGTTATTAAAAATGGTGCAGGGATCCGACACTGAAAAAATACTTATTCGGTTAAACTTTTTAGCACATTTACAAAAAGACTCAAAACATTTTTATCTCAAATGTATTTGTTTTATTAAAAAATATTTTTTAGTAAAGCACTGGAACTGGTAAAGCTTAAGAACAAAGCAGTTGCCCCGGCTAGGACTATTAGTTGAAAAAGGCAAAAAACTGAGATTTAGACATTCACACCCTATGTGATACAGGTCATATAAGATTAAAAACTCAATGATATCTCAACAGTCTTTGTATACTTTACAGCACGAACAATATGTCAATGTAAATTTCAGTTGTAGAAAATGACAATAAAGTTCTATTATACTTAGATCTGAGTTGGTTTTATATTATTTGTTTTATAAAGAAATTATTATGCAAAATGACAATTTCCATTTTAAATGCATGCAGACAATATTCATGTTTCTTCCAAGGAGGATTGGCTCCCAGGATCGAAACTTAATATTTTCCAACAATGAATACGTCGAAATGTCATTATTTTCTTAAATTATAACTGACTATAAAATCAAAATCAAAAGTCCCAAAAGATTCGAAACACTATCTCGATCATTTCTTAAATTATAACTGACTATAAAATCAAAAGTCCCAAAAGATTCGAAGCACTATCTCAATCATTTCTTGTAAGTTTTGGAATCTTTCATTGGGAAGTAAGACCAAAATTCATGATTCAAATGTTGAAGTGAACAAAATGGCGACTGTTTGAACTCGAACTTTGTATCATGACATGCCCATATATGGGAGAGAATATCAATGTTGCACTCTGGAAGCCAATCCTCCTTGTGTTTCTTCTATTAGTAGAATACACATCTTGGATCATGAATCGTGATCAAAGAATACTGAAACTAAATAAAAACACAGCAATTTGATGCCTTTATATTACCAAGGTCTCCAAATGCACCCTGAGTTGCTATCTGGTCCATGTTGAACAGTTTGTTGAGATCTTTGACATGTTCCCCTAGATGGTGTACTAGTGGCATGTTGAGATGACCCCTGTGTAACTAAGAAATAACTTGGTGATCTTGGACTCAATTGTATTAAAGTCACAGGGAACAGATATTGTCCATTACCTTCGAATAATTTCAGAATGTCTGTCGATATTTCTGATGATGGCTGTTCAAAATGTTGACATTTATTTGTACATGTCTGATCATTGGATTGATCTGACAGAATAGTTTTAGGGTTTGGATTGTCTTTTCGCTCAACACAGCGTAAATAATCAACTGCCATTTCTAGAATGTCTGCCTTCTCTATTTTCTGGGATTTGGTAGACTGAAAAAATAAAACATTCCCATTGAATAATAAAGGAAGTTTAGCCTATGTTAGAAATATACGTTTTTTGGCTGGTTGGTTCTATTATGCCATTCTGCAAAGAATAATACAAAATGTCCCATTTTTATTACCCACTCTGTATATACAATACAATTAAAAAAAAGTGAATTCATTTGATTGGGGAAATTCAAAAAATATAAATCCATGGAACAAAGGAACCTAGTCACAGATGTTCATACAGATGTTAGAATTACATTAAGCAAATTTCCAATGGCATCTTCAGAATAGTTATTGATCTGGTTGTTCTTATTATTCAATATAATATACAATATCAGTACATTCAACTCATGTAACATTCATTACCCCGAGCACAGAGTTAAGTAAAATAATGTAGATGAAGCTATCCTTTAAGAAGTTAAGTCAAACGAATGTAAAGGATCAACATTAAACTATATCTTACATACCTTTATATTACCAGCCTGGACAAGGATAGATTTAATTTCCTCCAAGTAATTATTGATTCTCTCTCGCCTTCTTTTCTCCATCAAAGGTTTCTAAAATATTTAAAAATGTTATTCCCTCATGCTATAATATTGAGTGTACAGTGACTCATCAAAAAGTGTAACACATTGTCACACAATGTAACACCTTAGTAAGCTATTATTAATAGAGTAAAACCTGTCTTAGTGAACAACTTTCTCACAACTTCCTCCTCATACACTCTATTGAATTCTGTGAACACCTCCAAACACTGAACATTTTTCTTGGCAAAAATGTTCGATACACAGGTTTTACTATGTTACAAAAGTGCAACAATTTGTCAAAGGCTTTGAGCACCAACTGTTGAACATGAGTCATAAAAAATTGGTTGCTAAAACAATATGTCACAACTTTGAAAAGTAGTATCGTTAAAAATGTATATTTACCTCTCCCAGAATTTATTTGGTGTTTTCAAATAAATGTTAGATTTAATTTAATTTAATTTTTTTAATTTTGGGTAGATTAGCAACATACCATTAATGTCTACATAATTAAATACTTACATTAGTAATATGCATGTAATACTATTTACTTTACTTACATTTTTACACACTTACTTACATATGTAATATGCATGTAATACTATTTACAAATACTTACATTTTTACACACTTACTTACATTAGTAATATGCATGTACTACTATTTACAAATACTTACATTTTTTCTCTTTTGAGAACAAGTTTTGAATTTAAGAGGTGGTTTGGTCGAAACTATTTGATCCATTTCTGGGACTATCTTTGTCCTATTTCACAAAACACAGACAATATCAACTTCGACCTTATATAGAATATATTCATTCTTGAAGGAAATTGATTGGTCAAGACTTATCCAAAATAGCCTACAATGCTATGTATGGAATACAATGAGCCACACGATGACTGTTGATAAGGGGGAACAAGAAAAGCGAATTGGAAGTTTTGTGCTATTGGTTCATAAGCCTCAGATTATTTGGATATAAGTTCTTCCGCATACACCCATAGAATAAACTTAAGACTCCATCTTATTATAATATTGAAGCTGCTGCAACAAGGGAACATCTCACTTACATATTTTTTTTTGGGGGGGGATGATGTGGTGTGAATGCTGCAATGAAGCACATATTGACTAGCACCACCAAAGAGATGATTTGAAGATGACGCGTTATAATGATCCTGTATGTTTTTCATTCAAATATTAGTTAATGCCTCATTCTATCAAGAACTCAAGTAGCAATGTTACTGGTATTTCTGGTTCACAGTGCATGAAGCATTCTAGTGCATTTTAGGTTAAATAAATTTTAGGTTAAATGAATGTTCCTTAGCTACTTGGTCAATTTTGATTTTTCATCATTATGTGTAAGACAACCAAAACCATACAAGGCATTTACGTGCAAAATGTCACAACCTGCCATATCATACAGATGCCGACCGCTACAGATACAAAACACTGTTACAGACACCAAACACCAACCACCCAACACCGTCTCAAAAGTTGGAGACTATAACAATATATCACCACTTCTGGTGTTGCCATAAAATGGCACAACTATTTACTATATATACGTGTAGTATAACATCTTACAAGTTTACTTCATAAAATATAAATAAATATGTTTCTACTGGTAAACCCCATTCAAATGACACTTGTAATGTTGAGGATCACTCAATCCTACTTCATATTATGAATACCCCCAATACTGTCAATTTCCTAATTTGATTCTTGTATTTTTCTCACTTGTCTGAAGTTGAGTGGCCCTCCAAAACTTTTGAAACCTGTCAACAAGACTTAATCCCATCAAAGCTCATTAAAATAGCAATGTTTTCCATAAATATTTAAATGGTTTAACCTTTATCCAGTTTCATTTTGAGTAAAATAACACACACTTCAAGGTACTCTATGTATGTCGTTAAGTACTTCTGTGTAATCCACATGCAACCTGAAGAGCATAAAAGCCTGTTATTTGATATATTGAAAATACAGGTTCTTCAGAGATCATGAGGCATCCTAAACATTTTCATAACTCCCTTTTCAAAAACTTCAAAATTGTGATATAGTTTTCAAGATTTGATAGGTCGCTAGTTGCATATGAATATTAATTAATAAAAGATTGGCAAAAGTTAATATTCAACTGTAACAACATTTTGTTTTACAATGTTGATATAATTTTTCGAATAGTTTTTCAAAAATTTTCTAAGAGTTGCCTCGTCAGCTGTCTACCCTTGACGCCTCTTGACAGACTTAACGAAATGGGATTTAGCAAACGTTTGGCCCTCAAGTGGCTTTCCAGAGATACTTTGTACACTTTCCTCTCCATATTACTTATTTTGTTATGGAACAAGAGCTTTCAAGTAATAAGATACCTGAGAGACAGACCTTTATTTGGTATGGTATGCTATGCCGTGTTCATTTACTGAAGTTGAAAAATTTCTTTCTCTTTCTACACCTTTAACTATGAATGAGCATCATTTTTCTTCCATACAGATATATTACATATGAATAGCTTTCAAATTCAATTCATAAATAACACAGATCAACATTAGCAGAATCAAAAAATACATAAAACAAGTTTAAATTAGACTATTAATTTATCAATTAAAAAATCAAGTACAAAGTATCAAATTGTTTCTTATTCTGAAAACTGAAATGTTAATAGAATTTTCAGAATTTTGTATGTATTCCTTTTCCCGTATGTAAGCACAAAAGATTATGAGAATTCAAAAGTGGAGTTGAACAAGAAAATATGCATGATGCAAAATTGAAGGAATTGTCATAATAAGGATGAGGGGATTGGGTCTCTTACATCCTTAAAGGCTGACAAGCAGTTTTTGTCCAAGTGAAATAAGCACTGTATACACTGTAAATAGTGTTTTAATTGTTTCAATTGTTTCAATCATTTCAATCAATTCAATGGTTTCAATGCTTGCATCATTTCCTACGTTTCAATGCTTACGTCATTTTGAGCATTTCAATCGTTTCGCTTTTGAAATTAATTTAAAGTTTCGCTGTTTGCGCCTGTTTCGCCATTTCAAGCATTTCAATCATACGACCAATTCATGAAGAAAGGGGCCAAACGATTGAAAAGAAAAACGAACATGCACGTTTTTCATTTCAAGCATTTCGCCGGGGCTTTTCAACTGTTTCAATCATTTCAATCAATACGTCTCGAAAAATAAAATTACTGTTTCGCTGCTTTCGCCTGTTTCGCCGTTTCAAGCATTTTAATCAATTCGCCTAAGCTCTTTCACATTCTCTTTCATTTCAACCATTTCAAGCATTTCGGCCTTTTTTTATTTTCTTACCTTATCTTACTTCATATAATTTGCGCATCAGATATCAAAAGCTCACCTTTCATATCAAAAGGGGAAAAATGTTAACACATTTCAACCCCCGTTTCAACCATTTCGCCTGCCAGTGTACAGGCGCGTATCGTCATGTACGCAAAATACGCCCAGGCGTACTGTTTGAATTTGAAAAAACGTTTTAAAAAAAACATGAAATTCAGTATTTTACTGTTATTTTCTTTGATGATGTGTAAACCTTTGTTGTACAAGTGTATTAACAATAAGTTCTTGATTCCCTCATTGTCATTCACTGTTTTCGTGATTCAAAGATTCAATTTTTTTCGTGATTCAAAGAGTTGCGTCATTCTTGTACGCTTCTTCAAGGCCGTATGGGGTATGATGGCGAATCCCGGCAGAGTACACGCTCAAAATCAGCAAATTCAGTACGTATAAACCTGAGTATCACTTGACATTATTAAATGTAAGTAATTTAATCATTTAAACCGTACGATAAGTGGATTTAGCTTTAACTACATTGATTAAGCCAATAAAAGCCCTTATGTGTAGAGCATTTCCAAATTCGCACGACCTTGTGCAGACGACTTTCTCTATTTTCGTCTGGTGTAGTGTTGACTCTTGGTGCTGCCATCTTTATATCGACCCAGAACCTATGGTAGGTCTGCACGAACGAAATCATACGCCAAAATCGCATTCATCTTCACACATTATTCATCCACATACGGGGGCGTACCCTTGCAAAATGACCACGATACGCGCCTGTGTATACACCCCTCTAGAAGAAATACTAGAATGTATATAACTTGTTCATGTATTCTGTTTTATTTTCCTTAGATGCCACATAGACCTTATTTCTGAATAGGCTCTGAAATGAGTTTAGAGGCAAAACTTTATTAATGCCAAGATCACATAATATATTTCCCATACCCTAGTGTTTTCTTGTAAAGTACAACAATACTATACAAAGGAAATACAATATACTACAGCCATTAGGAACACCATATATCATGTATTCATACTGATGACAGACAACGTACGAGTAAACTTTATAGACTAAAATAATTCAGTTATTTTCTTTCTTAACCGTTGACCAGAATCCAACTCACACGATACATATACCTTTTAAGCTTTTTAAAGCGTGCAAAAGTCATTTTTATTGGTACAACATGAAAAGATACTAATAATGACTTGTTGTTTACAGTTTATTTATTCTACCATGTGTTAACATTTTTCCCCTTTTGATATGAAAGGTGAGCTTTTGATATCTGATGCGCAAATCATATGAAATAAGATAAAGAAAATAAAAAGGGAAAGGATTAACCATATGTATGGTAATGTCATATTATTTCTCTAAATGTGATTTTTTTAAATAACTTTTGTACTGAAAACATTTTCGCAATAAATAAAATGCTTTTAATATTGGTAACATAATTTTTTATCATTTCTAAGTCAATTGGCACTGTACTCTGAAAATTTATAAGTATTACATAATTATAACATGCCTATGTGCAAAGTGTACACAAGACAGCGGGCCAATATAAGTTTTGAAAAGCCCGCGCCCGCTAACTTTCTGATTGGTCAAGGCGCTGACGTCATAACCAATCAATCGAAGATAAAACTGCGCGAGCAATTTTTCTAAACTCATTTCAATCATTTTCAAATCATTTGTTTGTCAATTCTATAAGAAAACGGTACTCTCTGACCAGTCTACATCATCATAGGTATGTTATAAATCGTTTATGTCACTATCGTGGCACATATGCCCTCGGTTCTCAGAGATCAATGTCCCTCCCAAGGTCGGGCCATATATCACTGAGATCTCGGGCATATATGCCACGATAGTGACATAACCTCTAAATATAATTCATTTTTGTATAATTATGAAATTGAGTCATACCAGCACTTTTTAATAAATTAAACTTTGAGGACAAATTTTCTTTGAAAAGGTTACATTGGGACAAAGAGTTAGCAGATGGGCAAATTTTTAACAGGAAATTATTCATGCAGCTAAACAAAAATATAGAACAACTACTTACATTTATGAAATATTATTATTGTATGATATATCAACAGATTCACACAATAAAAATATGCAGTTAGTTATTTTTCTTTTTAGATCAATGTGATAAGGATAAAATATGACGCAAATCAAGAATATGAAGAAAATCACTTTGATGTTGGGTCTACTCTTAAATGTGACTTTGACAGTTTCACACCAACAAAATTGGAGGAACTTTTATCCAAATGCATTAAAAGTATCTACTGAATATAAAATTGATGAACAAATCATAGACAAGTATATTGTAGCCGAACAGAATGCAAAAACAAAGATCAGACATTTGAGAGAAGCTCCTGAAACTGAACGTGATCATGCAGAAAAACAAGAGAAAAATGGCCTGATTGTTTATGCAGCATCACCAGATTGTTTCGCAACCATTCCTCAAAATGTCGCAAAGACAATACGAAGCCAATTTGCGAAAAATCTGCAATGTAAAATATCTGATCATGTGGTTGACAACTCTAAACTTGGAGCTCTATACAAAATGAAAATTAATGTTGAGACACTTGGAGATGACGATACATCTCAGATGCACTCAATAACACTGGATGCCATCAACCGTAAGAAGCAGCATGAATATGGCTTTGTACCGTACCAACTAGAGTTCCTGTCATCTGCCCAGCTGTACCCCTATAAGAACACTGTACAGAAGAACAATGTTTGCAGAGGAATTAACATCAAACTCAATGTCAGTAATTGTTATGTCTCTGACCTTGGACCAAGTGGTTTCTTTGATAAAACACTTAAAGTTGTTATTCTTGATGTGCTCAGTGAGTTATTCCTAAAGGATTATCAAATATGTGACCTTAATGGAGAAAAATCTGGAACATGGCACCCAATGTACCTCAAATGCTGTTACAGGAAAGAAGTTAGGCTACAAGCATCAGACTTCGACAACCCAGACACAGCCCAAACACCTCAGTATACAATCGGCTGTGAGGATCCCAATTTATGGCAAAAGATCCTATTGATATTCATACAGATCTCAAGCCTAGTGGCCTTCATCTTAAGCCCACTGACAGTCTACTGGTTGCAGCTATATATTCCTGATGATCAAAATCACACATCATGCTGGACTAGAATTAAATCATGTTGTAGATGCATGTTGAAAAGATCTAAATGTCAGAAAAGGAATAAAGACAACACTGAGGCTGATAATACAAATGATGATGACGTAGCTATGGAGAGTGATGATGTCAACAATGGAGATAACTGCACTAAAACTGGACTATTGCTGTGTGTCCAATGCAAAAGGGAAGAGAATGCTATTGTTGCAAATGATGACAAACAAGAGAGAATGAGCAATCAAGCAAGACATAGAGATTCAAGTGAGGGAGACAGTGGTGTAACTGATGTACTAGTGAAAACGCCTGCAAATAAAACTGATGTTAACATTGAACTAGACAATATTGATAAAGATGTGCCAGTGAACAGTGACGAAGACAGCTCTCAATCAGATGATAGCATAGATGGCCGAAAGAAAAAGGAAAATGTCTATTTTGATGGAAAGGCAGAAATGTCTTTCAGGTTCTCATATGTTCTTCATTATCTGTTTCTATGGTTCTTTGGTGGCTATTTGGTGACACTACTCCGAAGGTTTCTATTCATCTATCTGTTCTGCACTCTTCTCTTGTGTCAGGTGTATGTCCTGATGTCCTTCAATGGACTGGTCCTAGAAATGAATCCACTGATGATGTATCAGTCCATGGCCTTGAAATCCTTCATTAAATCTATTCTTGAGTTGACTGTTGAAACTAACACTGTTCACCAAAATAGCACTATGGAAGAAAATTTGGCATATGTCACTGAAAAAGCAAATTGGAGTTTGATAATTGGTTTCCTAGTGTCTCCATTAATTGTAACAATTGCTATATATGTATTTCTGTTTAACCCATTGACGAGTCGCCACTCGATTAGTAAGATCCTGTCATGGAAAGAGGACTATAGATTCTATGGGCAGCCTCTGCCAGATGATTTGCAAACAGAAATTGATCAAGGTGAGCCACCATTAAAGGTTGCCTACAAAAACATGAAACATAGAATGTATCTTATATGTTCTGGTTCATTTTGGAGATTTTTTTGGAGATCTTTTATAAAGGGTGATGAAAGCCCAACATCTAAAGTTAAGAAAGTCTTGAACAAAATCAAAGTCATTCTTAAAGCAATCCTTTTTGCTGTTCCTTTGATTTGGTATTCATTCCCAATATTTTCCATTACAAATGGTATTCAGAAATACCTCAAAATGTACTACAGAACACATACTCGACCAAAGGCCATCACAATAATGACCTTAAACATAATTGGCGCAATCATTGTGTATTGTATCATTGCTGATTTTCTCTTCCTTCACATCCATGCCTTTACATTCCTGGCTTTGGATATACTATTTGGAGATTCCGTATCATTTCTAATTTTCATCGGTGCTCTTGTGTACTACCTTAAAAGAATATTTGATGATGTTGAAGATGAATATATTCACCTTAAGGGACTACTTTTTGAGGAAGGAATCACTCTTGATGAGGAAATGCTGGTGCAAGGGAAAATACTCCTATGCACAGATGAGCCATCTCGTCCCCTTATAGAGAGGACTGATGATGGTGATATCATGATGCCCAGGTACATCTTCAGCGAGGTTAGTGAAATGATCTTGCCCCTCAGGAAAGCAATCTACAAGGCTCTCAGGAGATTCCTTATTACTTTCTTTCTTCTTGGCTTCCTACTCATGGCTGTTGTGCGCAAACAGAGCATGTCCATTTCTCGAACTGATTCAGAAATATTTATTGCACTTTTCGCAGTTGCAATCCCAAAGTTGATTGGCTTGGTAGATTCCCAGCATACAACTGATGTGGCAGAAAGGAAGAGGCGATATAGAATCAGAAAGATATTTAAGGCTATGACAGTGATGGAGGAACGAAAATCTCTGTCTTAAGATTACAATATCATTGGATAATCTAAACCCAAAACATAGCTTTGATAAACTAATTCAAGGATACACATATGATAGTGACATTCTAGATATCCTAAATGAAGAATTGTACGCAGAAATGATAAGAGGCTGGTTTAAATATCATTTTCAATTTTATATACAAAATTTAATTATTTTTTTGGTGGTGGGAAAGAAGGGTTTAGATCAGTAAGAGATCTTTTATTGGTTTTTGATTGAACAATGATAGCTTATACTGTATTACATATTTGAAACACTTCCTGAATTATATCTGAGGTCATGTGTAATATAAGTTATACAGGCTGAAATTATATGAATATGTTATTTTATATAAATGAATAAGGGTACAGAAAGATGTCAGATCTGGTTATACAATACAAGACACATGAATGTCTATACAGTAAAACCTGTCTTAGTGGAACACCTTTGGTACCTCTAAAAAGGGTTCCACTTGTGAGGTCTTCCTCTTAGAGATGTTCATTTAACGTTAAGTCAGTTGGTCTTGGCACTCTGAAAGAAACTCCACTTACAGAGGTGTTCTACTTCTAGAGGTGTTCCACTTCACAGGTTTCACTACATATTTATAGTAGAGAATTTTTAAAATATAAAGAGGAATATCAGACATCATTTTTCATACTCTCTATTTTCCATACATTACATGTACATTATTATGTCATCAATAAACATATCTTAAAATACCATACTAGTAGTTGGTCATGGATTATTTACTATAAGAAGTCTATCAAATAGCTTTAAATAAACGTATATGCCTCTGCACCTCATCCTCCTAAGCAGGTCTCCAGAATCCGTACCTCCTTCTTCCCCCTGCTATAACCAATTTGGAAGCGCCTGATTAAACTGAATCACGTGATCTTATGCGCAATGACTTATACATGAATTTCTGTCGCAGTGTTGTCGACAGCCAATCAGATTGCGAGCTCTTAATCGGGGAAATGCTAACTGCTTAGGGTAAAATGAATAAATTCTGGATTTTGAAGCCCTGTGATCGGAGGATGCTGCACCTCACCTTTCCAATTCATAGAAGTAGGCTATTGTATGTAAGAATTATTTTGCCATCAGATGTATCTGCCTCTAAAATCATTAAAGATGAGCAATTTTCCAGATCATTCACATTACTGAATATTTTCTTTGATCCACTTCAAGGATTGACATACAATGTAATATCTGTACCGATGGCGTCAAAAATATCAATATCAAATATGGCACAATTCAGTCAGTTGACACAATCACTTGAATATTACATTTAGACTTGCCTAGAATGTGCGAGACTGAAACATACACATGTTCCCATTATAGAACACATACATCTTTTACTCTTTCTGCAAACTTTGTCTGATGTCAGAGAACTCAACGATGTCAGATAACTCCCTGATGTCAGACAACTCCCTGATGTCAGGTAACTCCTTGATGTCAGGTAACTCCCTGATGTCAGTCTATACTGCAATTATAATTAGATAATCCTAATCCAGCCTATGTACTTCAAGTCACTTTTGAGTGTATATAGTTTGTGTCTAGCATGACTTTGCCCAGTTTTCCTTCCCTAAAAGCCCTCAATGCAATTGCTGATGCAGCATCAAAATTCCACCTGTACATATAGCCTCCTGCAATAAATGATATACACATACATGTACATGTAGTTTTTAAATCATGTCAAGGAAGGGGTCTTTTAAATAAGTTTTCCAAAGTCATATTACAAATATATTTACAATCACAAGTTGTAATATGAGGTTATATAATGGTTCTTTCTGTATATCGTGTTTATACTCGAGTGAGTATATGATATATTCACAAGTGAGCGTAGCGAACGAGTGAATATATTATATTCTCACGAGAGTATAAAATGCACGATATACAGAATGAACCATTATATAATCTTATTATGCCACTCTTAGTTCAATTACAGTGATTCGAACACAATCATAACAATTAAAAACCATAAAAATATCCCATAGCCAACTCAATAATACTATCAGTTATCACACGTTTCAGCATGTGATACGAGAAATATTCCACGAAAGTAAAAATTGTATCACACGTTTCAGCATGTGATACGAGAAATATTCCACGAAAGTAAAAATTGTATCACCACGAAAGCGAACCTTGATTGGTGATAGCTTTTTGCTTGAGTGGAATATTTTCGTATCACATCAGCTGAAACGTGTGATGACGATTTTATCATATAAAGTATGTTTTTATTTTATCATTATAACGTCATTTCCTAGGTATCAAGGTGTGTGACGTCAAATATTATTTCTGAACAGTTTGAATAGTGTAACGTCACTACACTGGAGCTTTTACTTATATGACGTCAGTAATTAGTTACCACTAGTTACATGGTTGTGATATGGGAAATACCAGGAAGGCTACAACCAATCAGATCACTGGAATTTTACATACTATGTGATAATGATGTTGATCTCGAACCATATATGACGTGGCTTGATTCTAGCAAATCATGCCGGAACCATTTATGACGTCACTTGATTCTGATTTTTTTATTTATTAGTTCCCAGAATGCACTTCTACAGTGGTATACGCTGGAGTGTATACGGAGGAGTTGTATACGATGACGATATACCACTCTCTACTGTATATCATTGTTATAGACCCATGTTATACAACTGTAATTGGACTTAGAGTGGTATAACATAAATTATATCATAAAATTGTTCAAATTTTACCAGATTAAAGCTGAGTTAACACTTTTTCATAATCCTGAACATATTTCTCTGGAAGTGAGCCATTTCTTGTGGACATTCTTTTATGTTTAATCTTTATGCACTGAGGAATGATAGGAAATTTGAGTTACAGATGTATTGGCATCTGAATGTTCATGTTTTCAAAGCACTAAAGTTTAAAAAACGCTCTCAAACCTACATGTAACATTGTTGACGTCACAGTCTCATTCAAGATTAGCAAAAGGTCAATATGGAAATCTGTGTGATTAATACACTGTTATTTAAAATATTTGGATGGATACATTAGCCCCCAATAGGTTATAATTGACCATTTGTGATCAAATTATAGATATTACTGTCCTATTATCACAAATCATCAATTAGAAACTGTTTAAGATTTGAATGTAATAGCAATGACCAAATTTGGACTTATTCTTGTTGTTTGAAACAGATGCACCACTGTACATACCTACTACTGCCTTCCGCTTTTCTATGTATCCCTGTTCTTTAGCCACATGTGCCAGAAACAAGGTGACATCATCAGTGGGAGCAGACAGTTTGAAGTGATCTACATAACTGGAATGTAAACATATAAATCAACTTATTGTGATATTAGTTTGTGACTGATCCATAATTACTTGACAAAAAATATAAATACAATGTTTAGACAGTTTTTTAGTCAAGGACATCTCTAATGGAATAGCACAAAAATCCCAGCTAAAAACTAATTTCAATTATCTACAAACTAAAATCCTAACTCAAAACATTGATCGAACCCTCATCATATGCTAAAGAAATTACATCTTATCACAGGGACCCTCAAAGTTTCTAATAATTAACATAAAAAGAAATTTACATACTCAAACTGTTTGTGTTTGTTCAACCAATACAGCATATAGTCAACTATCACATCAGGTCCAACCAAATGGTCTTTTAAATTGGCTGAAATAAAAAATAAAAAAATCAGATAAAATAAAAGCTAGTAAACTACACGACAATTTACAATTCATATAATTTTACACAGATTTTCCTAAGTTTTAAATGTTTAAATGAATGATTATCACATTCACATTTTCCATCCTACCTAGAAACTTCTGGAAAATACATACATAAAATGTATTGTCAGAGGCTTCATAGGTGATTGAAAGAATGTTCACAAAAAGGTAACAGTCCACCTGTTTATACAGGAGAGCATTTGAAATTACTACCTACTGCCATCTTTATACTGAAACTAGAAAAACAGCAACTCCATGGAGAAGCAAATCCCACCTAACAAAACATATTTTGATTATTAGTGGCCATCTTGAAAATTCCTTCTTGAGCAGAGCTTGTTTCTCCCTAGGTATCAACATGTAAATGCTTAGAAGTATATAATATGTGTATAATTTTAGCTATCTTCCCTTTTAGTTTTTGAGTGTGAAGTTTCCAATTTAGTTTGTCATCAACTAGGACACCAAGAAAATTAATGTTATCCTTCTTTGTAATAATATTTTTGTCATCAATTTTTATCTTGATTTCTTCAGGGTTATACATTCCTCTTTTATATGAAAAGAATAAAAAATTAGTCTTTTCAATACTAAGCGATAACTTGTTAGCCATGAACCAGTCATTGACTTTTTTAAGTTCATTATTTGCAACAGATATGAGTTCTTCTTTCGACTCATTTGAATGTAAAATACTGGTGTCATCTGTAAAAAGTAAAAACTTCAATATAGCAGAAGTAAAACTGAGGTCATTTATTTAAATAATAAAAAGTAGAGGTCCTAGCTATAAAGGATATGAACCTATTAAAGAGACTCTATTGAGACTTCTCTGTGGCATTTTTTCTTTATTCCTTTTTGTTTTGAATTTTTAACACCATAACATTAACTAACTACTCAATATGCAACTTTTCACCACGTAGAATTTTAAAATATTAAGTTTGAAAATTCCATTTTTATAATGGAGCTCAATTGGAAAAACTACATAATTTGAATTATTTTCAAACGTAGCGGCGCAATTTTGATAAAATTGACAGATATAATAAATATTGGTAAGACGAAATGTTTGATGAAAAATGAAGAAAATTCACCGTCCTGGTTACGCAAACTATAGAAAAATCTGAAATAATCATAAAAACCTGTAAAAATAGATTGAAGGGGGTGATATTCATTTCTAATGTGCCTTTCACTACTACAGGGTAACCATAATTTTGGTACTGATTTGATTTTTCAATGAAAATCATTTCTATAGTGTATAGTCAGTTTAAATAATACAATTATCGAAATCGTTGTTCCCTCTTCAAAAGAGAAGACGCGAAAATCTTTCCTTATAAGGGCAAAATATTTCCCATGATGCAGTTCGCGGAGGAACAAATTTATACTTCCTTATTTTCCCTCATAGGTTTAACATGGGGATTTTCAAACCTATTTTTCAAACGATATATTCGTTCATATTCCCGTACGAGAGTACAGAAAAAATTATTAGAAACGATTGATCTCTCATTAATCTTAATATAACAGCTATTTTTTTCATTGTATTAATTCATAGCGTGGTGAAAACGATGATTGAAAAGTGAGAAAATATTCCGAAAGAGAAGGTCACGTGATCAGTAGACTAGTCGCCATATTGGAAAAAACAATTCCATTCGACTTTTAATACTTTCATGCCAATCTTACCGCACTACAAACTGCGACATCGATGCAACAACTGAATAAAAGTATTCATCTTCAAATTACATTATAGAGTTACGTTGAAAACCCACAAACAACTGAGCAGTAGACCAAAGAAGACGCGTCGCTATTATCTAGGTCAATCTGTTCAGTGGTCCGAAAGCAAATGTATAGTACTCGTTTCCGAATTTTGTTGTTCATTGTACAATCTTTTATTGATTAAACTCGGTATACTGACCATTAAAGCAATGACAAAGAAGAATACTTACGATGGTGTCATGGTTTTATTTAGCGTGCGGGTGTAAAAACAAAATTGAGTAATTAGTTTGATTTAGAACTTTCGTGTCACGCAAATAGCTACGCGAAATGCATAGTGGGAAAATATTGACCAATCAAATTTTGTCCTTTTTGAGTGCTTTTTCAGTGCATATTTGCGAACGTTCTGATTCAAAGAGCGAACTGCGAAAAGGAGAATTGCTATACATGTATTTCTTTACTGAACAGTGCAATCATTTATTTATTTATCAACAGTAATCCAAACTACATATTATATAGTTAGTAAAATATTAAAATAATTCTATTAAAATTAAAGCATTGAGATGATACTTAAATAATTACATATTATATTGATAGGCATATTATAGTATAGGATTTAAGCCAATGACTAAATGCATTGTAGATGATTAAATCTAACATATGTCCTGATTCTAGACTAAGAACGAGGGTGGTAGTCCGAATTCAAAGCCTAGACTAGAAGACATAAGTGAATTGAAGCATCCACTATTCATTGAATCATGTGCTTTAATTCAATTTCACACATTGCAAAATATTTTTTACAATTTCACTTAACAGAATGATATTTTTTCAAAGATATGTTGTACTTTTAGAATCATTTGCTTCAAAGAATTGAACTATGGCGGCCTTTACTCGTTATTTTACGATTTTTGCTGTAACTCGAAAAGTAGTCGAGCGATTTTGTTCATATTTGGTATATGAATACTATAAGCATGGCACACTGTCTAATGACTCTTCTGGTAGAAGGCGGCCATTTTAACGTATTTTACTATAACACGGAAAGTAGTGGAGCGATTTTGTTCATATTTGGTATGTGAATACTATAAGCATGGCACACTGTCTAATGACGCTTTTGGTAGAAGGCAGCCATTTTGAAAAATGGCCGTCATTTTAACGTATTTTACTATAACTCGAAAAGTAGTAGAGCGATTTTGTTCATATTTGATGCGTGAATACTATAAGCGTGGCATACTGTCTAACGACACTTTTGGTAGAAGGTGGCCATTTTGAAAAATGGCTGCCATTTTTGCTGTATACTTTGTTTGTAAAAAAAATGCCAGCCATGGCTGTTCGATGGGATTTGCTACACTTTGGTGTTGCTGTTGTCTAGTTGAAGGATGGATGGACGGACAAATGGAGGGGTCTCCATAGCTTATCCCCTAATCTTCGTTGGATTGAACAATTGTGAATATGGTTATTGTTGGACAAATAAAACTGATTGAATGTCTAAAAGCAAATAATGAAGTGGTAATTTATTTTAAATCATTAAAAATCTCAAACATGCTTGCTTTGGTCTAGTCACTTAATTCCTAAATGTCCCGTAATTTGTATCTATATACCTTATTAGATGCAGTGAAGGAGTTAAATCATTGGGATATGAATAAATCATGCAAAACATATTTTGTACATATTTCTCATCATTTAGGGTTACCCAGTAGTTTACAAGCTGACCTTTGCAAAATATATTTCACTTACTATCCTCATTCGCTATCACGCTATCTAGTTTCTTTCCAAATTGGCCTGAATTGCCTGGTTTATTGGTTTTAGCGAACCGTCCATTTCGTTGAACCATCATTTTGCTAAGGTTGTTTGTGATGAATATACAATATTCAGTTACATATAACTGCAACTTTATGCAAGGGAAGGTAATTGTGTGAGAGCACATAAAGTACAAGAAGTATTGACCCACTTGTCTCAGTGAAACTTATAAACAGTGCATAAAGTTTTTTCTGTGCAATGATTGGCTCACAGTTACTTATAGTCACTGGCATGTAGCGATTATAGCGGTCCTGTCTTGGCTTATTGAATTGTTACGAAGTTACGTATGCGGTGCGGAAGTTAGAGAGCAAATGACCATCATTTCAATGTAATAGTTTATGCAGGAAAATTGAGATTAGGCCATTGGAGTATTTGTTTCATGCATTTGTAAAACGTTACCCACTCATAGGTCATACTTATCGTTAAACCAATAACTCAAATATATGCCCTTGTACACCGATCACCTGTTGAAATTAATACAGGCCGATTTCAACAAATGTAAACGGCGATATATTTAAAATCGTATTCAAGCATGACCACGTCCCAACTTCTTTTGTTTTCTTTACAACTAAGCTATGACTGCAGTCTATTCAGTGTTGCGTATCGAACCTTGTTTATTATAAAAATAGTGCAACAACAAGCAGAATTCACACATTTACCTTATACTTATTCTCAACTGAAGACATTGAATTTATCTCTTAGGTTTTACATTATAAATATCTTAACATGCAGAATACGAAAATAGAGGCTTAGGCCCAACTTTGTATGAATTTTATGAGAATAATCTGATTTTAGAGAAATGAAAAGAAAAATGTCCACACACTACACAAAATATTTATGGTTCCCCGGGAATACGTATGTGCTGCTTGTATATTAGAATCGTATTCCAGTTACAGAAAGAAGTACATATCATGCTAAACTATATACAACAGTTATGCACTTGGAGGTTTTGGATACAGGGAATATCCCGAGGGATACATAATATGTCTTCCCTTGGTCCCTCGGGAAGAAATATTGTATATCTCTCGGGATATTCCCTGTATCCAAAACCTCCAATTGCATAACCCCTATATAATGGCCAAGGGATAATCCCAATATCCTGACTATAGGATAATATGTTTATCCCATACCAATCTTGGTCATCTGGTTCACATTGTTAAATCGTGGAAATATTTTAGAATATTCATGTCCAGTTTTGTTTTCTTGGCCGTGGGCGGATTTTCATGTTCTCTCAAATAATCCCATATTTATTTTCTCGAATTTTTTATTGATAAAGTGGATGCTCTCTCCCTTTTTTAACTATCAAACAGACCCTGATTGTCTGTGTTTTCTCCATTGCCGTTTACAGTCATTCCGCGAACGTTACAAATTATGAACAAATATGCAAGCGGCGATTATGACGTAGCGGGCAGATATACTACATCTGCCCGCTTGGAGCGGGACGTAAAGCTTTATCCC